CTGCATACAGAATGCAAGCAGAATGGGCAGGTGGCCTTGGTATATGTAGGCAATTATCCAGTTTCCAAACTCAGAGCATATGGGAGAGGAGGGAAATGTTCATTAGAGCACACTATTGCATTAACCCACTATGTGTGTTTTGGAGGATATGCCAAAGCAAGGCATGTAAGCGATTGGCTCTCTCTGTTAATGTTAAATATGGGGATCTCTGGCCTGTTTCATACTAAATTAGTTTCTTTAACCCAGCGTGGAAATCTGATCAAAAATATAACAAGAACCAATGTTGTGTGATAGGAGTTTGTCCCTAAAAAGTTGCTGCAAGAGTTTTTTTTAGCATTTGGGGGGTGCTATAACCATCAGAAGATGGGTTGATGGTGTCTTGTACCCATACCTCATCTTCTTGATAGTTTTTGGAAAGCACAATTTGCATTTTAGATAAGATACTCTCCAGGCCTCCTCCTCCTGCAACATAGCTCTTGGCATGGGCTGTATTTCATGCTGTCAGTTCCACTCATTGCTAATTAGCATGGAGAATTGCATTGATGTTAACCATCATTTTCATCCCTTCTCCCCACCTTCAAAACAAGGGTTCTGTTGCCTAATGAGACCCCTGAGGATAATCAAAAAGGAAAAGGGACAAATTCATTCATGGTGTAACCCAGCTGACTTTGGTGCTGTTACTCCTAGGGTGAAATATTTCTAATGGAAGCAAAAATTATGGACACAGTGTGCCCGTGGGAGTGAGAAATAAAAATTAAAGAATGGGGAGAGGGAATTAAATTGTAAAGCCATAAAAGAGGTAATTTGGCATAACATGCGAGAGTACAGCCTAAGGAAGGGAGGTTTGGTGGCTCATTGTAGTTCTGCCACTAATTTAGTCATTGGCTTTCTCACATTGACACCTGGATTGCAAAAGAAGTAAATGCTTATGTATTCAAAACAGAGTTTCTGCAGTTTGTTAAAAACATCACATCTGGATTTAAATGTTATGGGAGGAACTATAAATAGTGATTTTATCAAAGATGATACAGAGATACTAATTTCTCAATCCATCTTTCACACTTGGAGATGAGATTTATAGCTTGGCTACATGCTCTACTCACTACATAAGAAGCATGCAGGTTGCAACTACATACTGAGAAAGAATTTTCTAGGATGCTCTCTAGGCAATCATTGCTCACATACTATAGATGCCATGGTAAGAGAAATGGAGATACTGCTGGCCAGCAAGCTGTTGTACATCCTTGGCCAGAAACCTGTTGTGCAGCTTTAGACTGTGCAACTGTGATTATATACAGTAATCAGCCATTGCTGTTATGAGACAATTAAAAGCTTCCTATTCCTCCTAGGCTCTGGGGATCCAGATCTCTTATATCCTTGGGATGTCTTTGGGTGCTGCAGAATGGGAAAGGGAACTGTATAATGCCTAAAAATTGATGCCATCAGTCCCAGGAACAGCAATAGTGATTTTCAGGCTTTAAAAACCTCCTTCCCTTATTTGGTGGTTCCCAAAGGCTTCCCCAGGATGAAGGGAATCCCTAAGAATCACCAGAACCTAGGAGCCTTCTGTTTTAGGCCTCATCTTGAGTATTGTGTCCAGTTCTGGACACTGCACTTCGAGAAGGATGCTGACAAACTGGAACAAGTTCAGAGGAGAATGACAAGGATGATCAGGGGAAGAGAAGCCAAGCCTTATGAGGAAAGGCTGAAAGAACTGGGTATGTTTAGCCTTGAGAAAAGAAGACTGAAGATAGATATGACAACACTTTTGAAACCCTTGAAAGGTTGCCATACAGAGCAAGGGCAGGATCTGTTCTCAATCATCCCCGAGTGCAGGACATGCAACAAAATGGGCTCAAGTTACAGGAAGCCAGATTTTGGTTGAAAATTAGAAAAATCTTCCTAACTCTTAGAGTAGTACAGCAATGGAATCAATTACCTCAAGAGGTGGTGAGTGGAGGCATTCAAGAGAAATTTAGACAACCACCTGGCAGGTATCCTTTTATTTGTATTCCTGCATTGAGCAACTGGTTGGATTCAATGGCCTTGTAGGCCCCTTCCAACCTTATGATTCTATGATTTCCCAACCCCCAAACAGTGGTGGCTGATGATGCCATTACAGCTTTGTGTAGCATAAATTTGTGTAACAGGATTCCAGCTAACATTCCATTATTTTTTTCTATATGAATGATAAGGCAGAGAACTTAGAAAGTAAGATCCTATTGCCCAAACTCCTCTTCAATAGCTATGCAGATGGTGTAACTTTCCAACTTCCCTATGTTAAGAAATCATTGTTGGCTTTATCAGTTGCACACTGAGGTATACAACTCAGTGTGCAACTGATAGCATCTATAGTTAGGTTAGGCAGTACACTTCTTAATTTGGGGCAATTCATCTCCAAAAGTTATGCCATTTGTGCTACATCTGCATAACTAGCATAACTCCTTCTCACCTATCTAAATATCAAGGGAAATGCTGCCATGCTTTCCTCAAGTGCAAATAATTTAGAACAGAGATAGGAAAGTTATGTTTATAGTTACAATTGGCTGAGGTTAGAACATTTTAGAGATCATTCGTTCATAGGTCAGAGGTGACTTGACAGCATATAGCAACAAATAGATCCAGGCCATCCTTGTAATGAATTATAGTTCTAATTTTTAAAAATTAACTCTTCACTTTCCTGGTAAAATAACTAGAAGGATATATTTTCATTATTCATTAAAAATCAGAATACTGCAGCATGGGATATAGCAGAAGCCAGCCCTTGAACCATGTGATATTACTTGTTCCTTTTTTACTATGGCCGTAGCAACAAATAGATCCAGGCCATCCTTGTAATGAATTATAGTTCTAATTTTTAAAAATTAACTCTTCACTTTCCTGGTAAAATAACTAGAAGGATATATTTTCATTATTCATTAAAAATCAGAATACTGCAGCATGGGATATAGCAGAAGCCAGCCCTTGAACCATGTGATATTACTTGTTCCTTTTTTACTATGGCCGTATCCTTGAAGCCTTAAGTTATAGTTACACTACAAGGTGAGTAAAGTTACACTTTAGTGGGCGTTTTAACCACTGCGCCACGACTATGGCCATATCCTTGAAGCCTTAAGTTATAGTTACACTACAAGGTGAGTAAAGTTACACTTTAGTGGCTGAAATCCAGTAGTAAGTCACAACTAAAATTGGCCCATTGAATCAGGGAACTCACAGAGGCGTTAACTCAACAAATCTTCACTGTAGTAGTTTTAGGGGAGGTAGCTACATTAGTCTGTGCTAGCACATCAGGCAAAAGCAAAATAAAAAATAAAGAAGACAAAATTGTAGTAGTACCTTAAAGACCAGCTGCTATGTTATATTGTGAGATTATGTCCTCATACCTAAGAGTCTTCACTGATTCATCCCCACTGATTCATTTACTAAATTACTGTTGAATTTAGCTACTAAATTATAATTGTATTGTAAGTTATACATTTGCTATGAATGGGGAAAAGAGTGGTCAAAGGCGGAATAGCAGCTTCCCATTAGTTTCTATGGACGGAAAAGAGCAGATACGGATCAAATGGTTTTCAATGCATTCCTATGGGAAATGCAGATTTGACCTGAGAACTTTTTGACTTGAGAACCGCCTTCCAATACGGATTAAGTTCTCAAGTCAAGACCCCACTGTACCAATGACTTTTTATTTGTAATTAATAACTTCTGAGTTCCGGTGAAGAAGGTACTTTCAACCATTAGAAGCAGGGTTATTTTCACAAAATGTGAGTAATGTATAGCCTTGGCCCTCAGTGGCATGCCACAGATCCTTCTAATATTGCACAGTCTTTTTTGTAAACTTCTTTGGATATGGATATGAACAGTTCAGATCAATAGCTCATCTCACTTGTCTTATAAGTTAACCATCAACATCTCTCTTTTCTACTCTTCCTTGGAGCTGTCACTAGGGTGGAACCACAGGGACTTTGCCCTCGGGAACCAACATTTATGGCACACCAAAATCTAGAACTGAATCTACTAATGTACATTAGAACATAAATAGCAACGCCACCTTGCCCCATTTGATTTTCTTACCACATTTATTTTCTAACCCTCAGGACATGTGATATTCTTTCTTCACTGTTTAATATAGCCATATCCTTGAAGCCGTAAGTTATAGTTACACTGCAAGATGAGTGAAGTTACACCTTATCAGCTGGAATCCAGTAGTAAGGTAGACAGATGTACCTTGTGGTATCAAAGAAACAGAAAGACAGGAGGTGCTTAAAGTGATGGCCAAAAATAAAAATAAAAACATTGAGGGTCATGATTCCTCATGTTTCACTCACTTACTGTATCCCCTTCCTCTTTCATATGCTTGGAGTCCTTGTTGTGTAGCAGAGGGACAGTTTTCACTTGCTCAGCTGGGCAAACAAAAAAAATGGTCCAAGGTAGGGGCAGAAATTACACCCCCCCTTTTAAAAAAAACACACCTTTTGCAATTATTTTTACATCAGGCTTTCTCTAACACAGTCTTGCAAGGAGGGCTTTGTGTGTGTGTTTTTGGTCAGTTTTTAGTTTCTTTTCAAAACAATTCGAAAGCTTGCCAACCTGTTATTGGAAAGTTTCCATCCTAGCAACATCTTGTGATTGAGAGCCCCTAAATCAGATTACAACATGCAAATTGGTAACATTTATGTAGATCTTCTTCTTTCACTCACTCAAAGCTTGAAAGAGGAACCAGATGCAAAATGCCTAGCTAAAGTGCACAAGCTAACCTCTGATCAGAAAAGCAAAGCCCTTTACATTCTACAAATTGATTTGCCTGCCACTGAAACACACAAATAGGCCCAGAGCAGGGAGCTGGTTTGTATTAAGATTCATTTGCTACAGTTTGAAAATGAATTCTTTAAAAAGGAAGCCAAAGATCTGAAGGCTTTCCAAGAGAACACATTGCAGTTAAAACTCATTACAAACATTTACAGATCAAAGGGAAAATCCACCTTACATTCTCAAATTGCAAATGGGTAGCTTGCAGTTGTAAATCAGCAGCAGCAGTAATCATAGTAATTTGCCCAAAATCATAATGCATAAATGATGCTCTGTGTTCCCTGTCCCTGCCAGCTGGAAAACTCCTGCAGCATCGGAATCAGCACAGCCTCCAGTTTCTCTGCCAGTTCATTGTATTATACACATTGTTCCTCCAAAACATGGGAAGACTGCTGGATTGTACCTTGCGGAAACAGAGAGAGAGAGAGAAGTGGTGCATCTATCCATTGCACTCAAGAGCTCTCCTGACCCTATATATAAACCATATGTGTGTATAAAAATAAAAGCACTACTTCTGATGGATTTGGACATGGTAACTCTCAATCCCTTTGCTGAACTTTGCTAATTAAAAATAATAACTAATGTGAATGTTAATTTCTGCTTTGTTCTCCATTTCCCATGCATTGGGAAAATAACTACAGTGGACCCTTGACTTACAGACGGCTTGACTTACAGACTTTTTGAGTTACAGACTTCTCTGGCCGCAAAATTTAGGTTTGACTTGCAGACTGAGATTTGACTTACAGACCAGAAAAAAACCAAAATGGAACAAAAACGGCCTGTTACGGGATTAATCGGTTTTCAATGCACTGTAGGTCAATGGAGACTTGACTTACAGACTTTTTGACTTGAGAACCGCCTTCCAATACGGATTAAGTTCTCAAGTCAAGACCCCACTGTACAGTAGTTTCAGTACCTTTCTATGGTGAAGAGGCATAGGATTCTTGAGAAGTTTGCCGTCTTGGTTCATATTTAAAAAGCACCGAGGAATGGCCAGGAAGTATCAGCTATTAAAAATGTGATTCCCAAGGAACCACCCTTGAGTGCTTTCATCTATGATCAGCTTCCAGTTTGAAGAGAGACGGCTATCAGCTATGCCTATACAGATCTACTGTATATTCACCATCACTGACACTCCAAGAGAAGGGTGATCTTCTCAAGTTACTCCTGGCAAAACTTGCATAGCTATTACATGACACTAAAACTGCCCATGGGGAAGTTTTCTGCCTCATTCACTGCTGCTGCTGGGCTATTTTAGGCACTACTCCAACAGCACCCATCTACCTTTAGATGGCCATGTGTATTCCTTCAGTTGGAAAGTGAAGCATGCAACTAACAATTTTCCCTCCAGAACACACTACTACAGGTTTACGCTTGCTTCTTCATTCATGAAATGCTAAAGAGAGGAGGAGAAATGTGCCAGTTCTGATTTAAAAAGAAAACCAGAAAGAAACTGCTTGAGGACATGCAGTTCTACGTTTTAGCGTTTATGCACCAAGATAAAAGTTTGTACTGGGAGAGTTGTGAGAATACCCATGTCCTGAGGGTTAGCATTAGTATTATGGCTGTGGTTAGGCAAAAGTTAGATCTGATATACTCTACTTCTCTTTCCTGACCTCAATGAAACTTCTATTGCTCCCCACCAACAAGTGGAGCCAACCTACTTAAACTAGAGTACTTTACTTCTCTTTCCTGACCTCAATGAAACTTCTATTGCTCCCCACCAACAAGTGGAGCCAACCTACTTAAACTAGAGTAATTTACTTCTCTTTCTCTTTATTACAGCTCACTGAAAGATACCTGGAGCTTTCGTATCCTAATATGTTACAGTGACTGGGACAAAAAGTATTTCAGTATTTCTGATATACTCTACTTCTCTTTCCTGACCTCAATGAAACTTCTATTGCTCCCCACCAACAAGTGGAGCCAACCTACTTAAACTAGAGTAATTTACTTCTCTTTCTCTTTATTACCTGGGAGAGTTGTGAGAATACCCATGTCCTGAGGGTTAGCATTAGTATTATGGCTGTGGTTAGGCAAAAGTTAGATCTGATATACTCTACTTCTCTTTCCTGACCTCAATGAAACTTCTATTGCTCCCCACCAACAAGTGGAGCCAACCTACTTAAACTAGAGTAATTTACTTCTCTTTCTCTTTATTACAGCTCACTGAAAGATACCTGGAGCTTTCGTATCCTAATATGTTACAGTGACTGGGACAAAAAGTATTTCAGTGGCAAAAAACAATAGATTTGTTGGGGCATTTTGTCCCTCCTGTTTTTTCTTTGCAAAAAGGGTAATATCAGAGAAGCCAAGTAACTGAAATGCATGGACACTGTTAACATACGACTCTCCCAATGACAGCGTCACCAGAATTCGTGCATGGTGTATCTATATTGTCCTGCCTAGTTGGATAAACTGCTTAAACCACAGCATGACTACAGGGAACCAAACACATTTATTTGTCAAAAGGCATCATTGTGTTGTTGTTGAAAGGAACATGTGTTTTAAAAGCAGAATTATAAAACAATTTCATCAATAATAACTAGGCTTGCTTGCCACTGTCACCTTCAGCTGCCAATCTGCAAGTTACATTTTGGGGCCTCCTTGGTTGCAGGGACCTGGACTCTGGCTGCATTAGTGTCCCAGTTGAATGTTTCACTGAAATACTCTAGCATAAACATAGTGATTTGTGGAGGATGGCCAAGGAAGCAGTAGCTGAGGAGGCAAGAAGACTATGGGAAGTGATGTTTAACTAAAGTAAAGGATATGAAGGAAGGAGGGGACATGGGGAAACAAACTGCAGTGTGTCTGGAATATGGTAAGGCATTTAGACACTCCTAGACAAGAGGTGAGCTGAAGAAGAGATGGATAAGGGAAAACATGGTCATAGTCTTCAAATAACTGAAGAGTTGCATGTTGCAGATGGAGCAGAAGGAAGGATTAGAGCCCAATGCCCCAAATCCTTGTTACAGTGGCAGCGGGGTGATGATATAACTGACCAGGAGAGATTTTTGGTAATTAAAGATTTCCTACTTCTGTCCGGATACATCTTCAACATTGTGTGTAATCAGTCTCATTGCTTGTGAGCCATACGAAGTCCAGCATGGAAGGAAGAACTCTTTAATTACTGAAAACATTCTGAGCCAGTGACATTATCACCTTTCCTCATGCATTATGTTTGCAATAGGATTTTGGCCAGTGATGGAAACTTAAACACTGGGAGAAGATTCGTGTTAGCTTAAGTAGTTTGTAAGCAGGTTAGATTTCTTGGGAGGTGGCCCTTTACTGGAGATGTTGCAGCGCAGAATGGATGCCCATCAGTCACGGAAACTGCAGTTGCATCCTGCACTGTGAAACCTGCATTTAACAGGGAATTGGAATAGACATCCTCCAAGATACCTGCTAGCTATGATTCTATTGGTGCTTGAAAAGGGAAGGGAAAAGAAGAAAGAAATAGAAGGAGAGCATGAGAAAAGAGAATTCAGGAGACAATACCAGCAGAGGGGAAGTGGCAAAATGGAAGACATAATTTTCACTTTGCTTTACAAGTCAATCTTTTGTTTCAGGTCTATATTTAACATCCTACCCAAATCCCATCATTTTATTCCAGCCCAGAGGTCTGACAGAAAGAACTGCATGTGAGGAGACAGGAATATCTCCTTTTAAGGCTGGTCTATCTCCTGACAGAAATTTATTTCCTATACTTGCTGTTTACTTTGACTTAATTCAGGCCCTGACTTCACAGGGCATGGAATAACTGCTGAGTGCTTAGTGCTGGTGACTGTGTTTGTTTACAAGTTTGTTTACAGTGTATGAAAACACATATGCTGTGGGAGATGCTGCACAAAAATGAATATTTATTTCCTTGAGCATATATTCATTTAAAAAACTGCACTTAAAATATATATATAAATTTAATGCACACAAAAGTATACCTGTGCTTTATGCATTTATATTCACCCTTGTTAGACTTTTTCACAGAGTTTTTTTGGTCATCATCTAGATACTCATGCATGGGGGGACCTTCACTATTTTGCCTGTGGGAAGGAAAGATCTGCACAGGCACAGTGAGAAATATCTATGAATGGAAATGCTCTGTACAAGTTTAAACAGAAGTTCCTGCTTACATGAAGTTCTGGATCACTTCCTCTCTCGACCCAGCAAAGACGAAAGGACACAAAAGTGCACAGCACAATGAGCCTTTTGTAGGCACAGATATCAGGCACCAGGCTGGTTGTACAACTCCTTGAAGGAAATAATCCCATAATGATACATCAGTCGTCATAAAGTAGCACACACTCTCCAGGCCACTGGGGAGCCTAATCCTTTGTATACCTAAGAGTGACCCATCCCTGAAAGCTGTTACTCTAGAGATCTGATACAAAGCACAGAACTGGCAGGTGGGGGGATGCAGTGTGGCAATTAAATACAATCTTAGGCTGCTGTTGCCTACAGGAAGGATCCTGGAGCGCGTTAAAGCACAAAAGAGGAAAGAAAAGGGCTTCTCTTTTAAAAATTGGTACATTAAATCCAAGGGAAGGCTGACAGGCTGAGAAATAATGGCCCGAGTTTACTCTTATTTAAAAACTGGCTGCCTGCTGCTTTCACTGCAATCACCACTCAGGCTTTCAGCACCATTTCAAATTAAATATACATAAGTGCTTTCAAAAAGCTGTTAATTTGAAGGTCATTAAAGAGCATAAAATATATTTCCTTTATTTATAAAGAAGCGCGTAATAATGCTATGCATATGGACTCCTCTCCCAGCAACTGCAGCATTTATTGTCTCCGATAGGAAAGCAATTGACTTCCCTCGGTTACCAGCTATGCACTCTGTCATCCCATTTGAATTACTGTTATCAGAAAGCAAGCCCCTTTGTAACCTCCCCATCGCTTGGCCTTGCCTGGATTGCGGAGTAGAAAGATAAAGGCAGAGAAACCGCGAAACACATTTGAAGAAGGCTACATGCTGGCCAGAGGATGCTGGAAGAGGGAGCAACTCTTGCAAGGGGCAGATGCTTGTCACCAAATGGAGAAGGGTATCAGGTGTGTTAGCTCTAACAACATTTAATGCATGCTAGTCAGTGCCCCAATATACCACTCTGCCTGTCACAATGCACCTAGCTGCCAGGTGTGCCCCTTGTGCTCCTGAGCTGCTATTATGGTTTTGGAGCACTCGGTTGAATTGCAAACAGCCTTTTAAAAAACACTGCACCATCTGTCCATTTCTGTAAAGTGTGTGTTAACACCTTTCCACAACAGGGTTTTCCTACAAAACCTCCAATCCATGACCTATTTTCTATCCCTTTCTTGGCCATTCAGTCTCCTTCCCAAACTGTCTGCCCCTCTTGTCCACAGCTGTTTTATGCAACCAGTTACCTGATCTTACAGCTTGTCAGTATTCTCACAGCATAACCACTAGATGGGAGGAGGGATGGACAAGGTTGGGGTGGGTGGGGAGGGAAGGAGGGAGGGAGGGAAGAGTTGGAATTGCTGTTGCCATAGAAATGTAGAAATGAAGCTGACAATTGAAAACCATTTCATAGATTTAAAGACATGACTGAGAACAAGGCAGAACAAGACATATTCAGTCAAAGGAAATAAAGGGAAAGGTGAGATCGACAAATAGATAAATTGGTAAACAGCAAGCAGAGAAAGATCCAGAAAAAGAAATGAATAGGCTTTTGCTGTGGAAACTAAGGAGAGGAATCAATGCTGGTATATTCATTACTCAAGGAATGGGGACAGCAAGACTGAAAAAAGCTGCCACAACAGTATCACTATTCTGAGGAGTAGAAATGCAGGGTTGGGGGGCAGTAAACAAATCTCTGTAGTTTTCAATGAGGTACATGAGAAGCTAAGAAGAGCCCCGTTGGCTAAGAGCAAAGGCCTTTCTTGTCCAGTCTTCTGTTCTCATGAAGACCAACCAGATGCCACCAGGAAGACCACAAGGAGAACATGAGGGCTATAGCATCTGCCAACTCAGGCTCCCTATCAACTGGTATTAAGAGGCACCAGCCCTAATTCTCTTGCCACGTTTTGTTGGTGTAACATAAACAGTGTAAATTTTGGAGGGGAATTGCCTTAAGTTAAGAAATCATAGATTTTATCATATACTGAGTTGTGTGATTCAGCATGCTTTTGATAATACCTACAATGATTTCTTAACTTGGGGCAATTTGCCTCCAAAGATTACCTTATCTGTGTAGCTATGCAAGAGGATTTTGAACCTACAATCTTTCGATATGGGATATAATTGTTATATGTATTGTAACCTGGCATGCTATCATTGATCCAGGGAGGGTAGGGGTAAACCAGATAACTAATACAGGCTGTCTACCTTAGTTCAGATAAAAATGGCATGGAAGTGTCCTTCTAGCTCCTTTTCTTCTGCTGTCCCTATTTGGAATCCAGTAAGGAATTTTATATGTGAGCTCCTGGAGCTTGTTTCTTCTGGAAAGATGCCTCACCAGAAGGACAATAACTTAACTCCTTGAACTTCAGTTGAACCTACATGCCTTTCTTCATATGCAAGCTGTTTGTGCATGGTAAAAAATGAAAACTTTTAAAAATCTTACCAAAGAACGAATGAGAACTATTCCCTACCCCTTTTTGCTCCAGCTACATGATACAGTGGTGCCGCGCAAGATGATTGCCTCGGGGGATGAAAAACCCGCAAGACGATTGGTTTTAGCGATCCCTATGGTGCCTTGCAAGACAGTTTTTTTCTATGACCGTGCCTCGCAAGACATCCCCCCCCCCGAGATCAATGCTTCACAAGACGAATATATATTTTTTTTGCAAGCCAGTGATTTTCACGGAACGAATTAAAATTGTCTTGTGAGGCACCACTGTATCGGCTTTAACCACCCCCATGGGGTAAATAGTATCCACCATAGCTTACAAATAACTTCGCTAGTTTTACAAAAATCCCATATTTTTAATAGTAATAGACAACCAACAAAGCCAGTAGCCATGGATAATTATGATTAATGATACCATGGGTAAACCTTGGCAGTAAAATTCATCAGTAGTGACCTGTTAGATACTAATAATATTACTTGGCTACCTGATATATACGTATCCCCAAATTTATCTGGGAGTGGATGGTGGGTTAGGTGAGCATCACAAGCTTTAAAGAAACCTTTTAAGACAGGAAAGAAGTGCCAGCTGGTGTCCGAGCTACCAAAATATTGTAGCATTAACAATGCATTAAATAGACAAAAAAGGGCCAGTTGGCATTGTGAATTTCATTATCTTTGTTCCAGAAAGCACCAAACCCACTCTTTCACTATATACAAACATTTCCTTTCTTGCCACAAAGAAAGCTCAAGTTACTATATTCTGTATTTATTTATTTTTTCCTCAGAGTTTCTTTTTTTAGTATTGATGATCCTAATTTTAGAGAATTATGTTTTTTGCATGATGTCTTACAGTGAACCCTTGACTTACAGACGGCTTGACTTACAGACTTTTTGAGTTACAGACTTCTCTGGCCGCAAAATTTAGGTTTGACTTGCAGACTGAGATTTGACTTACAGACCAGAAAAAAACCAAAACGGAGCAAAAACGGCCTGTTACGGGATTAATCGGTTTTCAATGCACTGTAGGTCAATGGAGACTTGACCTACAGACTTTTTGACTTGAGAACAGCCTTCCAATACGGATTAAGTTCTCAAGTCAAGACCCCACTGTATGTCAGTTTTCTGATTGGTACTGTATGCTTATGTCACTCATATGTTGCCCAGAGTAGTGGCCTTGTCACTAGTTGGATGGTATAAAAATATAATTAATTAATTAATTAATTAAGTTATGCAGAAGGCATGTAAGCCATCAAGGAATTCCCTTTGTCCCAAAATGTTACAGGGCAAGCTGGAATTTAAAGTGAGAAATGAACAAAATATTTGAGTTATTTTGTTTCTTTTGTTCTTCTACAATAATGACTATATGTTTGGTTAGGTGAATACTGAATAAACTGAACAGGTAAATCTTGAAGTAGTGTCTACATAGGTCCAGTCATGCTGGCCCTCTTAAGCTGCATCCATCCAAGATGCACTCAACAGAAAACTGACCCAGCATATTCAGCTCAATATCCAACTTCCACAGTGCTGTCAGGCAGGAAAGATAGTTACATAGGGCAGTCTATACAAAGAATAAAATGATTAAAATTAAACTGAACTAAAGTAAACTAAGGTATTCATCACTTCCTGGACTCATTTGGACAATCAGCCATGATCAAGCCAAGGAAAATGGTGCTCATGTTGTGGGTTCATCTGGCATTTAGCAACAAGAACATGACAGTAAACTAGCTGAGCAGCAAGGGATGCTGAGATTGGTGAAAGGGTGGAAAGGAGGAGAGAGACTACTTGACTGACTGCCCCCATTCCTTCACCTGCCTGCAGGTTTGGTAAAGTTTGGTTTAGCTATTGTCTTCTATTGTCCTGCCCAAATACAGACATTATGATTCCCGTCTTCAAATCATCTTAACTCTTATATGTAACTATTGTGGTTCTAGCAACAGAAAATAGCTGATTCATCTAAAGAATTTCTGATGAAGCAAAATAGTATTTGGGTAGCTTATATTTAATTCACCTATCACCAAGTATCTTGCATCTCTATATGTACAACAAAGCAACTAATAGCAAAATCCCATCTTGATATAAAGGTGATTTCTGCTTGTCTGTCTGGAGGACAAAAAGCACAACCAGGTTTCATTACAATCTGGTTAAGAGGTGCAGAACACCCTTTAATTCAGTGATGGAGAACATATCTTTCTTTAGATTAACTTTAAAATATTTATCAGTCATGCTGAGCTGAAATTGTGGGAGTTAAGGGATTATAGTCTCTCCCCCCCCCAAAAAAAAACTTGAAGGACCATAAAACACCCACTTTATTTATTTATTATTTTTATGCCGCCTATCTAGTGGCCATGCCACTACTCTGGGCAGTGTCCAGCAATAAAATTAAGCTTTAGTTGCCCTATAAACATTCTGATTCTCAGCTCTGGAAGGCGTAGATGAGAAATAAAAGTCCTAACTTCATCAGTAGCATTCTACTATCCAAACAATGAAGCTATGCAGATTTACTTTGACAGACTGTTCTGGGGTTCCCATCAGAATAATGAGGAAGCTTAGGGCCAGTGCACATGGCCATGTTGGCAAGCCAGGTTTGTACCCCGGGAGCACCTCAGTTGATTTCAGCTTCAGGCTGCATGAGTGCTTTACTTCTTGCAATTCCATCTGCATTCATCACATCTCCCTTCAGCTGCTCTTCAGGTGGTGGAATCGATTCTAGCTTATACAGCACGGAGCAGGATATACATTTCAATCGAGTAAATATCCAAGGTAAAGCAAAAATAGAAAAGATTTCAGATACAGAGCTTCAGAGAGATTGACCAGACATACATTTCTTCTTCGATTGTCCACATGGAAACAGAAGACCTGAATTGTATGGATTTCTGAGAGCCCTACAGATTGGGGAAACTGGATCATATCCTGGGACTATTCTAGTACCCATCCTGGGACTCTCTTCTTTTCCTTTTGGGAAAAAAAGCCAAAAGTAGTGTTCAACACCTGATCCCAAAGTATGATATAGGATTTGCTCAGAAGAATGGGCACTAGAGATGAGGACAAACTGTTTGGCAGCTCATGGTGGTTTGTCCTTTGGAAGAAGAGGTGTTTGGTCCTTCGCCCCCACCTCCTCTGGTGGGTGCCCACTCAAAAGCAGTTCCCATAGGATGCTGGGGAGGGAAGCCAGGGTGCTGCCTCTGAACAGGTACCCAATGGAGGAGGCGGGCTGGGAAGTGCCAAATACCTGTTTGTCCAAAGGATGAACCAGCAGTTCAAGCCCATCTCTAGTGGAGACCATAGCTAATAAGAAAGCATCTACAGGTTGTCCATTAGGAATAAACATATGTTATGTGTAATCTATCAGGGATAAATACACTACAGGGACATGGTGGCGCAGCGGGCTAAACCGCAGAAGCCTTTGTGCTGTAGGGTCAGAAGACCAGCTGTCGTAACATCGAATCCACGCAACGGAGTGAGCTCCCGTCTCTTTGTCCCAGCTCCTCACCAACCTAGCAGTTTGAAAGCATGCAAATGTGAGTAGATAAATAGGTACCACCTTGGTGGGAAGGTAAAATGGCATTCCCTAGTCACGCTGACCACGTGACAAGGGAAACTCTCTTCAGACAAACGCTGGCTCTACAGCTTGAAAACGGGATGAGCACGGACATGACTGGACTAAAAATGTCAAGGGGAACCTTTACCTTTACCTATCAGGAATAAATACAAATCTAATTCACGTAACATAACATCATGAAATAACTGTGACACTAGAAAGCTTAGCAATGTATCTTGTTTTCTCTGCCACTTCATAATTGAGATAGATACCATATATATATGTGCCTATTCCCTGCTTACAGGGTATGTGATGATGCTTTATTCCAACATAGCCATAGCTATAAGCCATATGATTAAACAGAGAAAAACAAATGCAAAGGAAATTTTTCTTTGTGAAAATAATGTAAGAAGAGTAAGCAGAAATGGTCCAAGAAATAAGCGTGAAAAGTAATTAGTAACGTTATGCTGTTACTTGCCATCAAGTCATTTCTTATGTACAACAACACTACAGATAAGTAACATCCGAAGAGTCCTGTCAAATTGTACGTAGTTATGACTGATCTTTTAAAATTCAGATGTATAGATTATTATCATCATCATTATCATAGAACTGTAGAATTGGAAGGGATTCTATGTATCATCAAGTCCAGTCCCTGTCAAGGAGGCCCAGCGGGGAATTGAACTCCTATCCTCTGGATCTGCAGCCAGATACCTAAACTACTGAGCTATGCCAACAAAAACCTGGTTTGCCTTCTCACAATGCAATGTTATGGTGTAGGGAAGGACCTCCTCTAGGGACATACAATAAATGCTTCTCTGTTGGGAACTGGTGTAGCAATTACGCTTCCCAAAGGCTAGTGAGAGCCACATCCAGCAAATGGTATCAGATGCACACAGCCAGCTTACTGTAGACTTGAAATAAAAATGGACTGATATTTTCCTATGGCTAGAGGCATTTTGATGGTTATTGAGCTGGGCCTGTGCAGGACTGATAAACTCCACATATAATACCAAGTAAGCCTTCAGAGCTATGATGAAACATTTCCTACTCTGCTAAACTGGTAGTAACATTGCCAGGTAGGTAGAGTGCCGTATTTGTAGCCTGAGTCACTGTTGTCAGGCTTTTCATACCTTTGGATTTAGTTAGACTAATAAAAGCAAAAGCCATGTGAAACAAGCACAAAAGCTCCTTCATCCACCTTGTGTGAATGTCAATGGATTGGTACAGAGGATTAATATTCAGCATACACCTTTTCTATGCTTGTTGCATTTGGTTTGACAACATACTTGAATGCAGATTTTTGTGCTCAATATTCCAAACGGGATTCATAACTGGCTATCAGACAGAGCTAAGAGCACTTCCTTCTGATGTTAAACAAGGGGCTTTCCCCCCTCCCTCTGCCAGTCTGGGGAGGCTCTGCTTGATAAAGCAAAATTCTTTTGCATCTTGTTAACATCTGCTTCTAGCCTGGGCCGCTGGGAACTTTTCTAGCACAATCGCAGGGCAGTGGCATCAGGCAACCTTTGGGTCCAGTTCCCCACCGCCATCTTTTTCTGCAGTAATTTGCCAGTGACCAGCTGATGGCACTAGGCCCCAAATTTTCAGCAGGTCACAGCATTGATAAAGCAGTCACCTACTTCAACCACCGTTATAGGCTAGAATTTATTCACTTTCCACATATCAACTCAACCCAGTTCTGCATGCTCACTGTTCTGGGGCTACACACTTAAGTGCCTCCTAAGCAAACAGACTCCAGGATCTCAAGCAAGTGAGTCAAAGCATTATGTGTCTGACTGTGGAAACTAAACAGCATAGGGTCTGGCTAGTAATTTGTATGGAAGACACCAAGGAACTACAGGTCTTTCAGACAGGAGTCAGAAAAAATCTATCTCAAAACCTTGGAGAACTCCTGCCAGTCACAGATGACAATATATAGCTAGGCAAGTGGTACATCAATGGTCTGACCCAATATTAGGCAACGTTCTATGTTCATAAGCCAAATTTATCCCCTTTCCCCCCAGATTTTTCTTACAGGGAAGAAACTGACCTGAGCAACAGAAAACAGTCTGCCTGTTGGAGATCCCAAGGTTGAGATAAGACTTCTGCTGGAAATTTTGGAGAATGTTCCCGGTCAAATTAGAAGGTAATTGTTTGGACTAAGTAGACTGACTTAGTTTAAGGTATTTTAATATGTTAGTTATTAGATCTAAATACAGAAAAAAAACCTTCCAAACCGCAAATACAGGTTGGAATTTGACCCACAGATGTTTTGTTAATGCCAACCAGTGAATACTTCTGGTTATATGGGCATAAGATTTTTCAATCCACTATAGACTTTTTATTTGTTAAATACCCCCAATGATTCAAAGAAAGAGGGCACAGTGATGTCAGAGTTGGGGTATTCCAACTGTTTGCTGGTGAGGCAGTAGAATGGGAAAAATTAATTTCAATTCTATAGCATTACTCAACTCAGATTTGAAATAAACAAGGCTCTTAGCTCCCATAATGAGGGTGGAGTGGCTGCAATCACAGCAGCTGCCAGGTTTAATGGTGAAAAACAGGCTGTGCAGTGCCCAGATGTAAGAAGAGATGCATATTATTAAGTGGAAAGAGAAACTTGGGGATGATGACATATTTTTCTAACATACCTGCATCTAATATACATGCATCTGCAACGCAGATCCTACAAGAAACTTGCGGTTGCAGTTGTGGCATAGAAATAATGGCAAGGCGAGTACATAAAGGAGTACGTTTTGCAGTCTGACCCTGCAGATACCTTGGATGGACACCTCTGCATTTCCCCCTCAAGATCCTGAGAGGCATTTTGCTACTCTAGTTTTATACAAAAGTTTGGACAGGCGCTGCTGAAATTTTTTAAAAGAGAAATAAACTTCATGTAGACATAACTATGCTATTCATACACAACGGCATGCATCTGTTTTCTTCTTTCATGGCATTAAAGCCACTTGTAACATTTTGTTTAAACATGTACGTCAACATGCTGATTGTATGAGTAGACCTTTGGTCTAGATGGGCAGGATAGAAATCCTATAAATAAACAAATAATTAAATAAATATGAGAAATGAATCCATGGGAAAAGCTCTCTAGAAAAGTAGTGGGATCATTTCCCTTGAAATTCTTTTTTTCCCCCCAGATTGGCATCCACAGGGTATGCTTTACATTTAGGAGATCCTGTTTTAGGACAGCAATTTAGTTGAGATGATGTTCTGGGTCTCTTTTGAGCTAGATACCTTTCCAGATCTGCTTTGGAAAACCAAGCCTTTACACCCATCCCTTAAGCTGCTGGTATGAACTGCAAGCTATCAGCCGGTTATATCCTTTAAATGGTAGCAACATAAAATTACAGTGCATACATTCTAGGCAAAACCTTCACTCAGGGATCATTCATTTGCATAAACTCTCCACAAACTCCATTAACTCAAGGTGCAATGGTTGTTTCTTAAAACACTCTGATGTAAATAAAGAGGTGCTAATTTAAGTTGTCCAATTTAAATGAGCAATGACATTCATAGCTAAGTTAACTGTAAAATCACACATAAAAAGCAGAGCTGTACAGAAGATAGACTGTTGAAGAAATAATGAGACAGCAAATAGCTCAGGGATGAATAGATTGGGTTGGTGGGCGGGTGAATGACAGAAGCAGTGCGGGAACTTACCTCTGTTGTTACGAAACCAAAATCAATATATATTAAAATCCTGACATCCATACAATGGAACCAAACATTCCTGAGCCATCATCTGCAGGTCACTGGGATGCTGGAAGACCAAGCATTCTTCTGTTTGGTGTCCTCTGTCTTTGGGCATCCTGTAACCACTCCACATGAAAGCCTTGTTGCATAGTCCCTTCTTCTGCTTCCATCCTCCTTTGAATTAATTTGCTTTCCTTGTTCATTTCTTTCGCACATTCCATGCACAGTTGCTCTGGACAGAAAGCCAGGCGTATCACGTCTATCTCCCACTGAATTCCCAATTTCCCTGATGGTGATGGATTTATCATCTGTCAATCCCACTTTGTTGTGTTTTCTGCTATGGACAAGCAGTGAGTGACTCCACAGTTAAGTTGACAACATACAGACGCATACATACACACTTGCGGGAACACCTTTTTTTTCCTCTTTTTTGCCATGAGGATTTTTTTCTTTTTGCAAAAAAATGCAAGCAAAAGAAAAAAAGAAGGTTTTTTTTTCTATTGAAGGTACATCTCTTCTTCAATATGAAGACATTAACTGGATTGGTCTGGATCCCCCATGCAGTGGTCAGTGAAGTCTTTTGGTAACTGTGGAACAACATCTTGAGATATTCTAGTAGGTAGCTGTAGAGACTGTGGAAGAAAATCCCCCACAGTTTATGGTCAAAGGAGGGAAATGGGCAGATAGGAAGGGCTCTGGGAGGAGAACTAAAGGTAAGAAGGAAATGAATACAGCTGCTGAAGATGGGTGCTCCAGGTTACACCTCTTTCCTCCCTACTGGCTCCTTGACTACTGCTCACTGGTGGTGGGATGTAAGGTCTCCTCCCCACAAACAATGGTTTGCTTTTGCTGTTTTTTTATTTTTAAATATATGATTTGTACATATTTATATTTATTTATATGCTGTTTCCCATGGCATCAGTAAGTGTGCTTCTGTTGGTGAGAAACGGACGTTGCCACAAAGAAACAAGTTCCATGTACTCTTTGTCTGCACCTCACAAAAGTTCTCAGACAAACCAACCTTTGCAAACATCTCACTGTCTTGTCAGCGTACCCTCCCCTCCCCCATCCAACCCTTCTCTGTCCTCCTCCTTTTCCCCCATTGTTGTGAGAAGACATGAAGCGTCATGCCATCGCAGTTGGTGACTGGCTCATCTGCACTCTCATAGACTGGACACTGTTGAGGATCTTCTTTTGGTGTCCAGCTAAGGTCACCCCTATTCTTAGAAGATCTCTGAAAAAGAGAAGAGACAAGATCACGCTCATGGAGCAAAGGCCATGGCCCTGAATTTCTCTTCTAGACATCTGGACCAATTTTAAATGCAACGAGAGAAAACAAATGCTGAGCAATCAGTATGGATAAAAGATAATGACATCAATGTGATGGTGTATATGTGCAGGATTCAAAATTAGGATTTTCCCCAAAAGCACAACAAACGGATATTTGAGTGTGAAAGAAGTTGGATGGTTGGTTTCTTTCCTCAAAGATGCTATCTTCTCAACTAACTTGAGGAGATAAATTGCTGTATTGCTGCTGAAGGTAAAGAATCTTATGAGGTTTGAACATTTCGCCTCTGGCTGTCTTGTTATGTTGAGATAGCAAAAATGATGAGATGGAGAAATTTAGTGACTATTATTTTTTTATCCCTATTCCACATGATTAAAATGCCTGATAGGGAGAGACTTTCA